CCCTCTCAGTGGCCCCGTGGGGCTCAGAGCAGTCTGCATCCCTTTGCCCGACTGGCAGTCAGGGTCACCTTGTCAGAGGGGTGCGCGACAGTCCAGGGGAGACAGGAGTGAGGGTTCCCTCTGCAGCCGTATGGCAGCCCTGAAATGCAGGGGTCTCATGCAGACGCCTCAGCATCGCCTGGCTGTCCTGGGGCTCCCAGGGCATGCGCAGGTGGCTGCTGTGCAGATGGGACCCTAAGGAGGACGGCACCTCCTACTGGCAGAGCACACACCAGCCCGAGCCCTGTCTAGGCCCTGGGAACCCCTCGCAGGGTCTGCCTCAGCACCCACTCCCAGCCGGCAGGAGCTTTACTTCTTTGCCTTTCCATCTTTTAAATAAATTTGGTTACGTCCGACTTCCTCCATCCATGGTTTCCTTGTCACCACGGGACACAACCCTAGTTATCCAATAACATTAGCAAAAACCTGTCTTGAAATAAAAGTAAAATTTAAATGTCTGGGGATGTAACTCAGTGCGAAAGTCCGAAGTTTAATCCCTAATCAAAGGAAAGAAAAAGGGAGGGAAGAAAGAAAATAAAGGTGGTGGCGGTGTAGGTGTGGCCATCATAGGTAGAAAATTTCCCTGGGCTTCGAGGTGACACAGCCGGCAGTTACCTCTGGGCGTCTCCTTTTCTGTCTCTGCAAAACCTCGCGTAGCTCTTGTCTGATTATCTTGTCACCAATCCAAATCACGTTTGGTGAACACTAATGTTACACAGCTTGGTCAAGAGTAAGACTGAGCATGCATACAGGAAAGATATTTGCTCAGTTAGGTACACCCGGCTCTCCAGGTGCAGAGCTACGCACTTGAAATCCCAGCTGGTTGGGAAACTGAGGCAGGAGGATGGCAAATTTGAGGCCAGCCTGGCAACTTAGCGAGACCCCACCTGAAAGTAGAATGTGAAAAGGGCTGCGGACGTAGCTCCAGAGTGGGACACTCGCCTAGCATGTGTGAGGCCTCGTGTTAAAACATAGAGTATCTGTTTGCACGGACACATGGACCTGTTTTTATTCAAGTGTGTCTAAAGAATCATTGACTAAAGGGCACCAGAAGAACCTGCTCTGGCAGCCTGAGAATCACCAGGCCCACGAGCAGGAGCCTGGCTCGGGACAGAGCCTGCTTCTTCTGCCATGGACCGAAGGCCTTTCTGTTACTTTTGCTGACTACAGGAGCGCCCCTGTGCATAACGCCGTGTGTATCCCAACCCAGAGGGCCACACCAGGGACCGCACTGAAAAGACTCTGTCCAACACCAAGGCCCCGTGGGCCCCATCCATCTGGCCATTGCCCCAGCAGGGCAGGAAGCACGGCCCCTCCACATCTGCCTCCTGAGCCCCAGGCGCCTGGCTCCACTCCAGTGCCATTGCCGTGTGATCGAAGAGGAGCAGCTGGACTCCAGCTTCCTGGGGCCCTGAGGAGCTTTGTCCCCAGACTTTCTGCCCTGGGGCACTGCCTGGGCCAGACCCGGAGATTGGGCCCCAGAGCCGCCCTGTGTGTGGCTCCACCGGGCTGGGACCCGCTCTGCCTTCGCTATCCCCACGACACCCCGGCCCTCAGCCACCCAGGTGGCGACAGCCTGGCAGGTGACCCCTTCCTGTCATCTGCTCAGACAGCAGTGGAAGATGTTGGACACTGCCTGTGGAGGGCGCTGGTGTCCGACTCAGCCCCGGCCCTCGCTTACTCTTTGCTCTTGTTTGGACCATGCATGGATGTGACTTCAAAGGCAAAAGGCACAAGAGGGCACACAGCACACCCTTCACACCCCAACCCCAGCAGCCAGGGCCCCAGCCCAGTGCCATCGACAGTGTGTGGGCATGCACCCGGGCTGGCTCTGGGTTTTGTCTTAAGCACACAGAGCAAAGGGCCCTGCCCTGCTTTCCTCACTTGGCATTCTCGGACTGCTTTTGTCATCGCTTCTCAGGCAGCTGCTAATGATCACCTGGGGGTGAGGCCTGACGCATCAGCCAGGCCCTGACTCCCTGTGCTAGAGCAGCTGCAGGACAGCAACCTTGGGCAGGTGGTTGGGCGGCTCCTGCCTAGAACGGCTTCACTTACGAGTTTTGGAGCTCACATGGGTGAGCTTGGGGTATTAAATGTACTTTTATTTTTGTTTGTCTGACATCAGATCTCACTATGTGGTCTAGGTTGGCCTTGAATTCACAGTAATCCTTCAGCCTCAGCCTCCGAAGTGTGGAATTACAGGCATGGCCCAGGTTATTCAGTGCAGTTTCAACCTAATCTCGTTGTGCGCTGAGGAACACTTGCTTTTTCCAGAAACCCCGACTTTGATTCCATCCTCAACCTGGCCCGCCCTGGTCAGAGCCTGGCTGAGCCGCAACAGCAACCCCTCGAGGCTGGCATGCACTCCGCATGTTATACCAGGGTTGCCACAGAGGGGGGCTCTGCCAGCTGCTCCCCGCAAGACACAGCAGGGTGAAGAACTTGCCTGAGCTCCAGAGCCAGAAGCAGTGGGTCTAGGATGAGAGCCTGAGCAGCCTGGCTCAGCCCTGCCGCCTTGCATGATGTCACAATCAGGGGAGCCCCAAATGTGCATCCAGAGCTGTCTGACTGTGGATGCAGGGGCCCATGCAGGGACTGTGTCGTCTCTAGCACCACCACCCTCACGCCCGAGGGGCCTGAATGTGGGCTCTGTGAGGACCTGACCAGGCCTGGCGCCGTTGCCCTGCTTTCTCTCTCTTTTTTTTGGAGAGGGGGTACTGGGGATCGAACTCAGGACCTTGCGCTTGCAAGGCAAGCAGCGGAACCACTGAGCTAAATCCCCAGTCCTGCCCTGCTTTCTCCAAGTGCTCGCTTCACTCCTGCTGTGTGAGAGTGGCTGTCACATTGCTACCAGATGTGGTGGTGCCCAGTGGCTTTTTCCAGGCCCTTATTGCCTTGTTCAAAGAATTTCACAGGACAGATGTGGTCCATAAAAACTTAATGTTTACTAAAGGTAAAAGACGAGGGGTCAGGGATTTAGCTCAGTGGTTCTGCCGTCTGCCTCACAAGTGCAGGGACCCAAGTTCAATCCCCGGAACCAAAAAAAAAAGGTAAAAGAGGAATAAAAAAGTGAAAAAGAAGTCCTATGAAGAAGACATGCCCTGAAGAAAAGAGAAAATATGCCCTGCCTTAGGCCGGCCACTGCATGGGCAAGAGAACAGTGGCCATGTGGCCAGTGGCCGCTGTGCTCCTGCTGTCAGCTCCTGGCCACTTCCCCCAGGGCTCTGCACTGCGGCCAGGGCAGGCAGGTCTCCATGACTATGGGATAAGCCCGGCTGGCCAGCCAGCTCACCATGCCCTAATCGCCGGCCTGGCTTCCCCCCGAGACACAAATGCCCACAGTTCTTCATGGGTTGCTGTCTTCAAGCAGCTACTTCCTGCTGCAGGGGCTGTAGGCTCTACCTACAGGGGATGAAGTGGCCTCTAACTACCTCAGGAAGCTGTGTCTCATTGCTTGGGCTGAGGAAAACCTATCAGAAGACAATGAGAAAAGACTTAGTACCTATATGTAGAGAGCTATTGAGCTTCCTGTTTAATGGTGGGAGAGTAACTTCACTGTTAGGTTGGGGATGTAGAGCTCAAATATGAGAAGGAGCAGATCCGGTTTTCAGACTTCCTGCAGAGGCAAAGAGGGATATTAGACAGGCTATGTGTACCCATTTATAGTGACTACTCAATAGAACCCCCAAACCCTCAATAGTCTTTGGTTGAGAAACAGGCACTTTAACGGATGATATCCCACTATGTGCCAGTAGGTGGCAGCCTAAGAACAGGAAATAAGCCAAAGAGGTTTAAAGGGGCTGCCCCCCCCCCCC